GAAACCTACAACAGCGGTGGTTCTAACCTGCCCTACATGGTCACTGTGAGTTGGAAATGACTCTATGCAATGAGTCTCGTTATTTTTTAATGATACAGGGGATCACAGGGTATATTCCCTCTGCTCCTCTAAAATGTACATTTGTTCAGTTACGAGCCATGCCATCTATTTCTCTGTAACCCCTCATTTACAACACAATTCTTTAAATATATTAGGAACTCCATAGATTTTTACTGATGGATTGATAGGGATAGTTTTCTAGTTGTTTGCGTCTCTTCAGCCTATCTGATCACCAGGACGGTTTTTGAATAAAGGAATAGATTTCCAGTTAATAATGCCTTGGGAAGACGCCATCCAAGGTTCTGAGTCATAGTCACCCTTTGTACAGCAGAACAAAACATGTCCCACCCTTGTTTCTATGCTTGGACTCATCGTTGCAACCACTGTGTGAATTCTTCTCATGGAGGATCTTCCTCTTCTTCATTGACGCTCCAGTTTACCAGAGGTGATGGCCTTCTATAGGAACCAGTGCCTCTCTCGGGATGTGACTCGACGCCTTTGTTATCCTCACCTCTCCGGAGCATTCTCTGATCGCCTCTGCTTTCAATCAAGCCCCATCTGGCATCAGCAACAATCTACCTTGTTCCAGGCCTTCTGAATCTGCCTTGATTTTCTGGTAGCTCGTTGCCGAGGTCCTGCTGTAGCCACTTTTAAATTATCTTCCGCAAAATTGTACTGACATGTGAATGATATGATTCAATAAATTCTGCACTCTCTTTGCAATCCATCCTAGTCAGTGGGCCAGAGAGCTGTCTTCCCAATTTCCTGCATAGACTAGTAAGTCTTCCAGCACCGCATCTGCTTGTTGAAAGATTTCGGTTGGCATTCAGTCAATTGTTTTTCACCAGCCCCTCCCAAGGCTCTAGAACCTCCTCCTTCAATGCCCTCCGTTCTGGATTGTGTGCTTCCTCCTGAACGGGGTGAATGCTCACCAGCTCCTTGCGGTTCAGTGACTTCATGTATTCTTTCCATCTTCTGTGGATGCTTCCTGCATTATTTAAGATTTTGCTCACAGATTTCTTCAATACTGTAACTAACTCGAAGCTCGAAGATGCCCCCCAGTTCTTTCACCTTGAGAAATGCTGAGCGGTTTCTTTTCTCAGGGCTTTCAAATGACACTATGTTTCATTTTAATGCTTTACTTAGTCTTTGGCAGTCGCTCCCCTCCACTCCAACCCCCCACCCCATGGGAATCTTCTAGTTGATTCATTTGCTTTGTTATGTCTTCCTTTCGCTTTAGACATTTCCACAAGTTCAAGTTGTACTCTGTACACGTCACTAGGTTCCCGAAAAGCCCACCCAATGAGAAAAAAAGAATTCACAGAACTATAGAAACTGGTTCCCTCGATATGGTCTTTTAAGTGCATTAGAACTATTTGGATATTATTTTATTTAGAATGTTCACACCTGTGTCCACAAATAAATTGGATCTGTTCTTTTCCTTCCTGGTCCTTAGAGGGTTTTGGAAACCATGCTGAATTAGCCTCATAAAGTGAGCTAGACTTCAGTTTTCTTCTTATCACAGTGTATGAAATATACCTTTAATGAAGTCTGTCTTTCCTCCACATAAGACCTCATCTCTCCTCACACCCTGTGCTTCTTCACACACCCCACAATGGTACCATCTAGAATTTTACTTTTGACTTATTCTGGGCACAATTTTTTTTCTCAATTTTTTAGTTCTTGTTTCCTTACCCAGAAGTAGAATTTTCTAACTCATTTTTTTAACCTCACTTCCCATCTCTCAGAGCACCTGCTGGTAATTCATTTTTCCTAACCGAAGTACTTTATCCAACCGTATTTTTGAAGAGTCTTTGCATAGTAAACTGTCTGAGGCTGTGTGTGTCTGGTGCGTATCTGGCTGGAGGAGAATTGGAGGAGCGAATGCCCAGTCTCGATGTTCTTATTACCTGTTCTTCACTCCAGCTGGGATTTGGCGTTGTCTTAAGGTTAGCAGGTGGCTTACTGCTGGCCCTGAATGGATGGCGCTGAACTGATGGTTCTCAGTTACGATGGAGTCAGGGGAATGTGAGGGACAGAACAGGGCATGGCATGAAGGCTTCCCACAACTGTCCCTCTCTGTGGAGACGGTTGCCTGTACCGGCATTGCCCACCTCCAACAAGGGCACAACCACTTTCTTTCTCCACATGTATTTCCTCCCACTCCTACTTGACGTCATTGGGATCTTCACACTCCCTCTCTGGGGCAATTCCAAGGTCAGGTTGGAGGAGAGAATCCAGCAGCCATGTGTTTTGTGACACCTTTCTAGAAATAGGCAATACACCAGTGACTTTTGATGGGATGCTAGGACCCCAGAGAATACCTGAAGTCCGTTAGGTCACCTATACACTATTTTCTTTTGCGGAATCTCTTTTCCTGGTTTAAGTTTTTAAAATACAGTCTTCTTTAAAAGGAAATCTTATGCTGAATCCAAATATGTCAAATAGTTAAGACCAGAGCTGCTCTAGTTGAAGTGGGGGGGGGGGGTATGTGTGCGGGGTCCATGATTCTGCTCCCCACACTCTTTGGCCCCACACTGATCCGATAGAACTGCCAAGACCATAGGCTAGAGACCACTCAAGCCATTTAGAATGTTGCAATGTGTACAGTTCCATTTGCTTTATTTTTTTCCTGTTCAATATGGGGAAAAGTCACACTTTTTTTTTCTTACTAAATGTATCACGTTCTTTGTTGTCTCTACTGGTATGTTCCACCAGGAAGAGAAAATGATGGTACACGGGCATCTTTTAGCCCTTCGTTTCTCCGTGCCTAAGGAAACTTTAGCTAGATCTCAGGTGGTGGTGCCAGTTAGGTGTTGGGCTACTGACTAGAAGATCAGCAGTTCAAACCCACCAGTGTGCTGTAGAAAGACCAGGCTTTCTACTCCAATACAGACTTGAACTCTCATAACCCACAGGCGCAGTTCTACCCTGTCCTCAAGGATCTTTATGAGTTAGAATTGATTCGATGGCAGTGAGTGTGTATAAGAGTGAGTGTGTATGAGTGTCATCTACATTACTTAAACTCGTAACAGATAAATTGTATAACTTTCAGCCCCGGGCCCAGGGTCTGGTCTGTAGGGGAATATTATTGCTAAAGACGTTAAAGCTGTTTATTCATTCATCCATCCATTCCATAAACCACCCACCCATCTCTCCATTTTGTCTATCCATCCCTGAGTTTCTGCCTCAGCTTCTATGTGATAGGTCCTTAAGAACCAGAGCTTTGTCCAGCTCACCGATGTGGTCCCCACTGGATCTAACATAATAAGCATAAAGAAGGTTGCTAGGAGGCGGAATCAACTCAATGACAATTTTTTTATGTGTGTGTGACATTTAGGTCCTCAAAACCACCATTTATCTGTCAGCGCATCATCCTACTTTAACTTATGTGTAGCCATGATGCTGGAAGTTATGATACCAGTATTTCAGACACCATCAGTGGAGCTTCCAAACTAAGATGGACTAAAAAGAAAAGCCAAGTGACTTACTTCCAAAAATCATTCAATACATAGCATCGGAAAAGAATGTTGTCCAATGCAGTACTTGATGATGAGCCATGTATGTGGGACAGCACGCAAAATATAAAATGGCTGCAACAAACTTGAGCAAACCAATGATAATGAGCAAGAGACATGTAGAAGTGGGCAGGCAGCGTGATCTTTTGTTGCACACAAGGTCACCATGAGCGGGGGTCAATATGATGGCAACGGGCCCCAGTCACTGAGCAGCCTCCCCCTCGAGCCCCCTCGCTTCACGATGCTCCATCCCTCCTGCCCGCCTTCTCCAGCCGCTGCCTTCCGCTAGCCGTTTCCACCGAGGAAAAGGAATCGTATCGTATGTCCGCTATCCAGAACCTCCACTCTTTCGACCCCTTTGCTGATGCAAGTAAGGGTGATGACCTGCTGCCTGCAGGGGCCGAGGATTATATCCATATAAGAATTCAACAGCGCAACGGCAGGAAGACCCTTACCACTGTCCAAGGGATCGCTGATGACTACGACAAACAGAAACTAGTGAAGGCCTTTAAGAAGAAATTTGCCTGCAATGGCACTGTGATTGAGCATCCAGAATATGGAGAAGTGATTCAGCTCCAGGGCGACCAGCACAGGAACATATGCCAGTTCCTTGTAGAGATTGGACTGGCTAAGGACGACCAGCTGAAGGTTCATGAGTTTTTAAGTGCTTATGGCTCACGGAAGCTTAAGTGAGGATTTCCTTGCAATGAGTAGTAAAATTCCCTCTGTCCCTTGTCACAAGTTTAAAACCTCACAGCTTGTATGATGTAACCATTTGGGGTCCACATTTAACTTGGACTAGTGTAACTCCTTCATGCAATACACTGAAAAGAGCCATGCTGTCCAGTCTTGAAGTCCCTCATTGAAACAGAGGTCGAGCAGTAGGCGCCTGGCAGTGCCGAGATTTTTCTTCTTCAGAATTTAAAAGAAAAAAATATATGATGGCAACGAACAACAGCAAAAGACATTCAAATTATTAGTGGGGTCAAAGACCTGGTTCTTGAACTCATAGCCTTAAGCTCTTAGAGTGGACAATACTGTTTCTAAACTTCCCAAGAGCCTCTGCCGCTCCAGGTTAAGCGTATGTCCGTCTTGCTGGGGACCCGCTGGGTCAGGCTGCTAATTACAAGGCTGTGTGCGCCATACAAATTCACGGTCTCAGAAGCCCTGTATAGGGCCGACGTGTGTCGGAGGAGTCGCAGAGAAACAAGCCCACCTGCAAAGTCCAAGTCCGTCTAAGACCAAGAATGAACTTTACGCTTGAAGACACAAGACTAATTCGTTTATTAGGTGCGCTCTATAAGTTGGGGAGGAAAACTTCTGGCAAATAAATAAGTCAATAAATTATCAAATGAACAACGGCTGTCTGGCCTAAAAAGGAGAGCGGGGAGAGGAAGGGAGCGGAGTCTTTGCATAGTTCGAAATGAACAGAAGGTGGCAGCAGTAGGCAACGTGGAGTTTCAGGGGAAATGCAGCAGCACTTGCAAATACCAAGGACAGGAGGCTTGGAGAAAGAGGAGAAGGGCAGAGGTGGCTAACTATTTCGTTTCCATGGAGACCATGGTGCGGAACATTCGTCCCCTCGACAGGAGCGGGACTCGGCGTCTCACAGGATCTGCCTGGGCGTCCCGTACCCGGTCATGCCCGCCTGGGACGCTCCCTTGTTGCTGCCCATCTGAAGGCCTATGACGTTCTGTCCCTGGCGAAGCTGCTCTTCCGAAAAGCCTCTCCGGTTCTGCTGGGCTTTCCTGCGCAGAGGGAGGGAGATGGAACCTTGTCATTCCCAGACAGCTTTCAAACCCTTCTTAAGCTTGCCATAGGCAGCCTTTAGTTAGGGGGCTGGGGGACACCAATTAAAAGAATGGTATCTTCCTGTAGGTTTCCTAGCTCTTAAAAGCCCAGTTTTCCAGAATTTCCAGCCAAGAAGAATGGGTGTCTGACCGCTTCCCGGGAGACCTCACTCTCAGTTCCGGTCTTCCTCCCCTCCCCCCACTCCTCTCGTCCTCCCCCTCCCTCACAGTGACCTCCTCGGTAAGGGGGAAGCAGCTCTGTTTTACAAAACCTCGCCTGTCCATCATTCGTCCCGTTCCACCCTTCCCTATCCCGGGCCAGGGATTCATGCCCCATTCCGAATCCCAGTAAATCCAGGCCATGTGTTAGGGCTGAGGGCGCAGGCGGTTAGTGGGGAGGGATTTCTGTGTTTCACAAAGTGGATGATGCTGCCCCTTGCTAGGGCACTGGGATGATACAGGGGGCTGCAGAAGCAGATACCTACACTTGATCCTGGAATATGGGCTAGAGTACAAGGGTTCTTAACGATTCAATGAGTTTTGTAGTTGTTGGTTTCTTAAAAGGGGACCAAGTAACTCTAGATGCAAGGTCAGCAAACGTTTCTGTTAAAGGCCCGTCGTTTGGAGAGTTGATGTTTTTCGAGGTTTGTTTCAACCTGTATAACGAGTAGTGAATCGCTGCTAGAGATGGAGCTCAAACTAAGCTTCCAACTGCCCGATCCCTAGAAGATCTTTCAGAGGAGCTTCTTTTAAAATAACACAAACAAGTTCCGGCTGATTTCTATCCAGGAGCGGAAAAAAGACTGGCAATAGGTTATTCCCTACCAAGTCCCGTTTTCCCTTCATCCCTCTTGAAGCTATTGCCATTGGGTTTCAGTTCTTCCTCCATAAACACAAGAACTCACGTTGGGGGGGAAATCCTTTCCTAAGGTGATCGCATCCTTTATCCTCCAGGCATGGACCCTTTTCAGAGTGAAAGAGGGCACCATTAACAAACATGTCGGAACTGTAAGCATTAACCAGGGCAAATAGGGCATATGGTCACCCTAAGAATTGCCTTCATTAAGTGCAATTTGTGGAGGGTAGATTCAGGGCTGCTCGCGTGTCATATTAAACTGAGTTCAGGTATCCGGACTTCTCGGAGAAAGCACATTCAGTCTCTCTCAGTCTCTGGAGACATGGCACCCAGCCCACGTGGCAGGAGCAAGGCACTGGTAGTCAGGACAAAGCAGTGCTGCCCTGGGTGGGATGCTGGCGTGAATGGCAGCAACTCTCTCCTTGCGTTGAGGGATTCTTTAGGAGGCTAGAAGTACGTACTCCCTGTGGTGTGGGCTAGAAATAATTTCTGGGAACTCTAAGACTTCCAAGTCTCCCTCTGGTTCCCATCCTGTACTCGCAGGGGCCAGGATGGGTTTCTTACCTGTGGAACCAGGAGGGCTCTCCTCGATAGCAGCCATCATCCTTGGTGACCGCGACACTCCCAAGGGCCATCAGGGTCCTCTGCACAGCCGCCATATCCTTCCCTGGAAGCCAACAAAGAGACCATAATCAAATGTGCCGGGCCAAGGGATTCTGGAAGAGTGGGGCTTCCCCCAGGAAGTTCGGATTGATGACTGCAATCCAAATCAACGGAGGCATCATCAATCATTCTCCATGAGTCCCTGTGGTCGTTACATCATCTGTTGTCAATCTGAGTATTAAGAGTGAAGGGGTGGAGTTTAGCCTGTCAATCAGGTTGCAGCTGGATGACCTCATGTGGAGCCTCTAAGGAGATAAATAGCTCATCGGAGGCGGGACACACGCTGATTACCTGTGAGACATCTCTGTTGACAAGACACGTGGAGCTACGCTAGAACTCTGGAGCTGGAGGAGCCACGTGGAGACCCCTGCCAGCGCTGAGATGCTGCTACTGCCACCGGATCCACAAGACCTTCCACCCACTGTCCTGGGATCTTCCTCAATTGGGTGTCATTGCATGTGTTTTGTGAGTCTGAAGAGGAATTTATAGATTGGTATCAGACTTATGAACTAATATCGAACTTATGGACTTGATCTGGACTGGGCTAGGATGTTTTCTCAATAGTCAACTGCTCTTGTATATAAAGCTCTTTCTTAAACACACATGCATGTCTATGAATTTGTTTTTCTAGTCAATCCAGACTAACATAGATCCTAAAAAGACCATGAATAAACTGCTTACAGAGGAATTAAAAAAATAGCCAGTGTATATTATCAGAGATGGTTTTTCTGATTCATTCATGGTTGCTGAATGCATAAAACCTTCCGGAGAGCTAGAGGCGCGTACAGAGATTTGCTCCAGCACTCAGCGGACCGCTTCGCTGGGTGGGTGCTATAAGCTGTAGTAAGGAAGCCCTGCGGCAGGCTGGCACCGCAGTCCTGCACAAGAGGACTGGTTCTGCAGGAATGAAGAAAAAAGAAAAGCGGAGAGAAATTGGTTGCAGAGGCTCCCTCTCCGTCAAACTCAAGCGGCTTTTCTCTTCTCCTGTATCCGGGTTCAAGGGGCCTAAAAGCATTCAAGTGCGTGGCCTTGAGCATTCACTAGGCTATTGGGGCCCAAAGCTGGGAAAAGGAAAAGAGGCGAATCAACACGGAAAGCGCTCCACGTGAGACACGTGAGAGGCTTTGAATCCTGTGCTGCTTGAAGGCAGTGAAGCGGGGACAAGAACTGGTTTGGGTGTGGAAGGGAGAAGAATGAGAGAGTATGAGAAAGATCCAGAAAGAGAGATGGGAAGAAAAAGGGAAGCAGGAAGAAAGGCGTGCGGAGGTGTGGTCCCTCCCACAAGGAGGCAGGGAGCATCGAAGCCCCTGGGACTGGACCCCCAGCCCTAGCAGGTCAATGGGCCCCACAAGACCAACCTGCGCTTCTCATTCTCCATCCTTTTTCTCCTTCCCAGGTGACCAATGTACTTCCCCGGGACTGAGGAAGATGCGACTGTGTGATTCGTAGCAGACCAAACGTGCGGCAGCCACAAGGCTGGAGCGCATAAGCCGAAAGGCCAGGGTCAGACAGAAGGCAGCACTCAGTCCGCTGCGGAGCTGGGAAGGAAAGAGCAAAGCCGTCCAGGCCCTCATTAGCAGGACTGAACCAGCTGCATCTCTCTTGTGAGGCAATTGCAGCTCAGCCCCTGGGGAATAGAGAGTTACAGGGAAAGGCAGATGGACTATGAACTGTAATAACATCAACAATTAAGACCCACAAAGGAAGTCCAGTCCAGGATGTACATTTAACTAGGAGAGAGAGCCAAAGAGATGCTCCTCTCCGCCTCTTTGTCCTGCTCCATGCACCTGCCCCTCCACATTAGCCACAGGGGTGATCTATCTCCTGGATGTGGAGGCTCGTGAGGATTGGCTGATAGAGACAGGGTTGAACTGTCCAGGAAGAATTCCCCAGATTCACGGAGCAGCTGCAGTGGCAGACAATAGGGCATCTGGACCAGGGATACACGCAAAAATTCCCGAGAATAGGCTAGGAAACCCAGAGTGGTTGTCAGAGGAGGCTTCTCTTCCCCAGATGAAAAGTATTTCAGTAATGTGGTCATGTAAAAAGAGACAGATAGATGGACATATGTGGCTGGGCATTGTCACGTCAGTTCCAACTCACAGGGACCCCGTTGAGCAATAGCGTTCCTATCACACCCAGGTAAACTTTTGCAGAGATAATTTTAAAACGACTGAAGCAGTATATCACCAGGGAGCTGTCAGAAAATCAAGCCGTATCAGATACATCTCGGCTGAAAGCAGAGAGTGCCCAAGAGATGTAGCCCTTGTTTGACAGATTGCAGAAATGCATGCCACTGTGTGGATCGTCATAACTTATGCTAACATTGAGAAGAATGGGAATTCTAGAACGACTTCCCTGTGCTCATGAAGAACCTGTACATGGATCAACAGGCAGTCTTTCCAAGAGCACAAAGGGTCACTGTGTGGTTCAAAATCAGAAAACGTGTGTGCCAGGGTTCCATTGGTATGCTAAGCAAATCATCTGAGAAGCTGGGCTATAAAGAAGAACACAGTGTCAGGATTGGAGGAAGGCTTATTAACAACCTGTGTGTTAATAAGCACAAAGTAAAGAAGCCTTGAAGCACTTCCTCATGGAGATCAAAGAATACAGCCTTTACTAAGAGTTACTCTTCAGAGTACGGGAAACAAAAAATCCCCATAAAGTAAGGTGACCAGATGTCCCGCTTTGGGCGGGACAGTCCCGATTTTTAACAATTTTTCCCCGCGTCCTGCGGCGTTTTTAAAAAGTCCCAATTTTTGGAAAGAATGCACAACATGCTAGGGTATACGGTTTTCGGTTGCCATGTGGCTATTTCGCCAGGATATGAGTTTTATCAATGGTGTCCCGCTTTACCATATGTTAAAATCTGATCACCTTACCATAAAGCGACCGACAAGCAACAACATGGTGTGCAGAGAGAAACTTGAAGTTGTCAAGTATTTCCTTTTGCTTAGATTCACAATCAATGCCCATGGAAACAGCAGTCGAGAAATCAAACAATGTCTTGCCTGGGACAGATCTGCAGCACAAAACTTAAATTTAATGTGTTAAAAAGCAAAGATGTTGAGGACTCAGAGTGTTGAGGACTATGGTACACTTGACCTCACCCAAGGTATTTTCAGTCCCTTAATGTGCATGTGAAAGGAAGGCGGAACAAGAATGGCCGCATGCCTTTCCATTGTCCTGTTGGTATTGAAATAGTGAATAGGCTTTGGGCTGCCTTGGGAGCATTGGGAGCATTCTATTCAGAATGCTCCTTAGGAAGGCAAGACTTTGCTTCATGTACTTCAGACCTGTCGTCTGGAGAAACCAGTCCCTGGAACAGGAAGGACTTCGTGCTCTGTAAAGTAGACGGTCAGTGAAAAAAAAAGAGAAAGCCCCTCAACAAGATGGATTGACACAGAGGCTTCAACAGTGGGCTCAAACACAGGCGTGATGTTGTGGACGGCAAAGGACTGAGCACACAGGATCAGTCCTTTTGCACACAGGATCACTAGGAGACAGACCTGGCTCAACAGCACCTCGTCAAAACAACACGCTGCAATAGAACTGTAGTGGTGGCATTCTGAAGGATTACTCTGGTAAGAGATAGAAAGAGGATGCAAGTCATGAATCATGAAAGAGGTCCTAGAGAAACGATGAAGCCCAGGAAGGTTTGTTAGATGAGTTACCAGGGATGTCTGTCATCTCTCCTCTGGACACAAGTTGCACATGTCAAGTCAGTCCAACTCAGGTAGTTGGAAAGAACGGTTCTAACTTGGCCAATTGCTGGAGAAATACGGAGCCTGGAACCACAGATACCAACCTGGTGCAAGACGCTACACACGAAAACAAAAATCGCTTTGAACCACGCTTTGAACTATAGATCCAGCCTCCTTCACAAGCAGCTATTTATTTATTTACTAATTTACTATGTGTTCTTCTATTTATTTACTATGCGAACCCAGAAAGGGCCACAGTAATCAAGTTGGGGGCAAAGGTAAAATATCGAGACATCTAGAATCATAAATACCACCCCCCACCTTCCTCTCAAGAGATTTGATAAAGAAATCGTTGCAAGAGTGGGGCAGATGAAGCTGTGGAAGGAGGCATCATTTGACAAGAATAAATTATAAAGTTCCTTATTAGAATGGTCCCAAAGACATGAGAATTTGACATATCAATTATGCATGATCTCACCCCCATGAGATTGGCCTTATTCCGCCCAGTGTATGATGGGAAAATTAATTCAGAGAAGTCAAGGCACCTGTCCAGAGTCACCCAACAAATAGGTAGAAGTCCGCTCTAGTTCTGATTTGACTCTAAAGCCCACATATAGTCCATGAGCCCACATCTCCCAGGAAGCCCACAGCAGGCTGGATGGAGACACGTGTTCCTTAGCTGAAGCCAGTGATCAGAGGACATCAAAGGGATCTCAGAGGCTGCCTTAAGGCGCCCAGCCCAGCATTTTGTACTAGGGGATAAGACTGAGCCAAAGCTTCCTGGGCCCCACAGGACAAAGGACCTCAGTCTCAAAAGAGTGTAAAAAGTCTTGTGCTTAAGCGTTTTGTATGGAATACATTTTCAAAGTCTTCATCCAACTAGCGATGGAGCTATAAAAAACAGTTGGGGTCTAGAGTTCCCATAAATGTGCCCGCCAAGTTAAATACCATGAAGATCCTAAGTACCATTATGTGCAGAAATCTGCACTCTGTAACCAGTGCATGTCTAGCTTGCTTTCTTGGCATGGCTACGTTGTTGTTGAATAACGCTTCTTTGGGCAGAATTCCAGGATGCTTGGCTTGACAGACTGGGGGGCTGGCCTCCTTGTTCCAACCTTACGTCTTTTACTAGTTCAGAGACTCAGATTAGCAAGATGGAAAGGGGCCCCCGGGAAGGGTCAAGACCAGGTGGGGAAGCTTATTCTTATCACCCAGGCTCAAATATTTAGAAACCTAAAGAAGCTGTGCAGTTACGGGAGTGCTGCAAAGTGTGCCAATATAAGATAGCACTGCTCAACTG